TATCGTTGCTGCTATTTTACAATGCTTATCAGTAGAGATTTTCCAGATGTATTTTGTTGCCGACAGTTAAAAAATATAAGGTTGGATATTAAAATCAGTGATTTGGTCGTCTATAACCTAGAAATGTCAGTATATTTCAGGTGTTTTAGTAAGATTAACGTAACCGCTATTTAATGAACTTGGATTTTTAAATCAAGGGTTTGCATTTGAGACAATTAGTGAATAATTGTTTAGCAAGGCCGGTTTATCCACAGTAAAACACAAAATTTATAAACTGTGGTTATAAGAAACGTTTTAGGTTTAAATTTACAATAAATCAGGAACATGCAATATGCCTATTACGTTGTTATGTTTATCATAAAGTTTGGTTGTTAAAATCCGATCAATAAACGTCTTTTTGAAGTAAAATATCCAAATATATGAAACAAATGTGTCAGATTCTGTGGTATATATCGTATCGACTTAAGAATCTAAATGTCGAGTTGAAGGGCGCAGGAAGTGTTTTCTTTTTTCACATATAAGATCTAGATTTTGGACAAATTCTTTTTCATCTGAATATAAAAATAGGTCTGCTAATAAGGGGGAATAATGGTTACAAACAAATAAAAGTATCAAAAGCTGTTTTGCAAACAAATCGAAGTATCAAACTTAGAATTAATGAAATGCTGACTTTTGAATGAGTGACTAAGAAGTTGAAAAGCCTTTACATTATTTGCTTTGTTTTAAAGCATTTACTTAACCATACTGATATACTAATACAATATTGTAAAATACCAATGAATTTTCTTATGATTATACAGAATTTGTTAGTTAAAAAAAGTGTGATCTTGATGCCTTTGGTTGAATACATCATCTTAGCATTCTGTATAGTATAATGCTATATGTAATTACAATGTTATACTTGTAATGGAGCTTAGTCAGGGCCCAATCCCTGGTAGCTGCCAGCTTATTAGTTTATATAACAATTTTTAATGAGTGGGATCTGGGAAATAAAGAATTGAAAAAAATTATGAAAATAGAAATAGGTTCTTATATTTGACTTTGCTTTTGCCTTTTGAAAGTACATTTCCTGTATTGAACTACGTCGTATCGTCTCGCGGAAGCTTCCTTTGAACCGATAGCAATATGTTTCCGTCAATTTGTTTCCTTCCATATGCATCAGACATCTGTATGGTGCTTATTCTTTCTGACAAAGTGAATAATCTTGAATTTTTCCAGGGATAATTATTGATTACTTTAGTTTTCCATTTAACTTTATACAAGTTTTTAAAAAAAAAAAAAAGATCAAATAACGATGCCATTATGAAATCAAAAAAATGTATCAAATTCAGAAGTATTGATTATTATCATTACTAATTTCATTCAGCGTTTAAAAGTTAAATAATTCTGCTCTGTCGATATTTGAATTCTTTGAATGGAGTTTATCATGTAAAACACGTTTTAACATGTGTGCACTTAACTTTAATAGACTAAATGACAACTTGATTTATAATTTCTGTTGACAACATCCAAAATAAAAGAGTGTAAAGTACATTGAATTACCATATCTTGGATTCCAAAACTTTACAAAACCCTTACAAAGATACATAGCTGGTTCCAGTAAATGTTTTACCAAACCTGTTTCTTTACTCCTCACTAAAATTTTAACAATAGTGAAGGAGGAACTTAAGGAGTACTGTACATTTATATATTCGAGATAAGTGAAATAAATCAAATGTTGATACTTGAAAATTCCATGGAAATTTTAGAAAACTTTAAAAATATTATCAAAAATCAACAGAACAAAAACCAACGACTTTTCAACTTCATATACAACCATTCCCCACAATAAATTAAAGTCCACACTTTTTGATATCATTGACAGCAGCTTTTTCAAAAAATGAAACTCGTAAATTTACTTACCTTGTCATTGATTATTTGCAAAATTGTTTTGCCAAGAAAAAGAATGTAAAAAACATTCTGATTGTACACAAATACTATGAAGTTGCTGATTGTCAATATTGATGTGGTTTTTGGAGACCAACAATCTTTTTTTTTTCTTCCAACAATCTATTGGAATTTTAATGGGTACCAATTGCGCCCAGTTATAAAGCAGATCTATTTTTGTATCTTTTACGTGAAAAGTAGAAAATATTTGATGTGGGCTTCAACTCGACATTTAGATATCGACGACGTTTTGTCAATTAACAATGGTTTTTTCACTTGTTATGTCGATGCGATATATCCCTGTGAGATTGAAATAAAAGATACCACAGAGTCTGTCGTATCCATTGGATACTTAAATATTTTACTTGAAAAAGACGTTAATGGTAATCAGACAACCAAGCTTTATGATAAGCGTGATAACTTTAACTTTACAATAGTCAACTTCCTTACTTATGCAGTAATATACCTTCATCACCCGCATACGGGATTAATATTTCTCAATTGATTCGATACATGAGAGCATGCTCTCCGTTCGAACGATTTCCCTAACAGGGTAAACTATTGACAAACAAGTTGCTGAAACAAGAATATCAGCAGTCTCGTTTAAAGTCATAAATTTGACAAAGTCATAAAGTTATATGGTAGATAAATGGCCTTGTCAGAAACACAATTTATTATGAAGTCAAATGCTGACTGACGTTTTTTTTTCATACTTATCGTTAGGCCATTATATACACATTGAATTGTCGACGGATTTATCCGTTATTTCCCGAGCATGAGAAGTAGCACACGGTGGGTGTGACTGGTCGGCAGGAGATGCTCACTCCTCCATGGCACCTGATCCCACCTCTGATGTTTTGGAGGTCCATGTTTGCTCTGCTCCCATATTTTGATTTGTATAATGGACTTTTGAGTTTAAATACTGTTCATTATCTCCATAAATTTCATCCCGAATAGCAAAATATCCTCAATATCTAGCAACTGATGTGATAGTGTACATCTATGATCGTCATAAAGATACTTTTAACATTTTTTTTTGTATTTTGACTGTTTTACACCAATTTCAAACCTTCTTTATTCAATATATTTAAAGAATGGTTTGTTTACCTGATTAATACCTGATTAATACGTGAAGCTAACTGTGAATGAAAAATATTGAGATTGTGAACAGTATCAAGATCAAAAATCCATTAAACAATACAAAATTGGAGCGTAGCTAACAGGAACCTCCTGAAATCAGAAGTGAGATCAAGTGCCATGGAGGATTTAGCATCCCCTGTCGACCGGTCACATCCGCAGTGTGCTCCTTGTGATGATAGGAAAATTACGAAAAAATCCGTCGACAATTCAGTGTGTATATATATTGACTTAATAGTTAGTATGAGAAAAGTTAGTCAGCAAATGACTTTATGATAAATTGTATTTGCTGACAAGGTCATTGTACCGACCATTGAACTAATGAACTTACGAAATGATGACTTTAAACGAGATGTGGAGGTGGTTGGGACTGGTTGACAGGAGATACATCTTTACGCCTCCTAAGACAACGGATTCCATATCGGTAATATCCATAGGCTATCACTATTTTCCTTATTACCCATGGTTTGGTCATTTTTAAAAGTCATTCATTTTCTTTTATATCTAACGTAAAATTATAAATTTCGTGGGTTGAATTTTCTGTTATAACAAATTTAATTTGTAATTAAAGGGGCTCTAAAAATTTGTTAAAAAATTTCATTTCATTTTTATGTTTACAAAAACTTAACTAAGGTATTTCTGATGATCATCAAAATTTTGAATTTCAGTTGTCGAGATACAAGACAGATTTAAAGCTCCCAACCTTTGTTATGTAAACAAGGCTTGTGCCATGTTTTTGTTTATATAGGTTAAACATGCTGATATGTGTTCGTCCAAAGCAGATTGTTAATTCTAAATACAATTTGACATTTTCTAATGATTTTCTGAATCTCGTTTTGTTATAAAAATGATATTTTCTAAATGTAATCAAAAACAAGGCACGCGCCTTGTTTACACTATGAAGAATTCTAAGTCCCGTATCCCCTTTGTAAATCAACAAATGATGTTCAAATTTTTGCTGATCAATAGAATTGCTTTAGTTAGGAATTGTAAACATTAAAATTGTTTAAATTGAATAAATTCAGTTGAAACTGTGTCCATGCCCTATAAGATTAGAACTAAAACTTTTAAAATTTGTGTGAAAGTTAAAATTAAATATTTTCTGTATTGATTTTATTAAACTTTGCCAACATTCTTTTTTCATTTTCACTGGCCAATCAAATATTTTCCAACTAGTAAGCATTCCTTACTAATAATTGAAATTGAGTTTTATTTCCTGATCATGAAAAGGAGCACAGGGTGGGTGTGACAGGTCAGCAGGGGATGCTCACTCATCCATGGCACCTGATCCCACCACTGATGTCCGGAGGTCCGTGTTTGCTCTGCTCCTCTTTTGTACTGTTTTATGGACTTTGAGATTGAATACTGTTCGTATTCTCCATATCCTTCATCAATTTGTTTTAAAATCACAGATCAAAATTTCTGTTTGAAATAGGCCATGACCATTTTTGCCAGCATAAATTTATATTTTTGTTATGCGGATACTTAATTCTTTCCTGGTCCTGTTAATAAGCTGATATGCTGCTTTATATTCTGATGCTTTTCTGTGAATATATATAACAGTTTTTCTTTATGATACTAGGGTACGAATTCTTTGATATTACCTGTATATGCATATGAAATTCCTCACTGAGATCATTTTTATGTTGAAATCATCACCTTATCATGATAGATATCTTCATAAATTATGATATAAAGTATCAGATTATCTTATAATAAAAAAGTTTAATTACATATTATCAAAGTATTAGAAAAAAATGATGGAGAATTGGCATTACAAAATAAAGTATCATTGTATACTAAAAAGGTTCAGTTTTTTTAAATTTAATTCTTTTATATTTTTGTACACGTTTGAATAGTGTGTTATAAATTGTTATGTTCCTCATCTATGGTACTCACTATATATATAAATAAATATTTGTCTTTTATGCATTGGAAGTGGTTTTTATTGTTAATGCAAATGAATACTATCTATATTCCAAGAGATACCCGAGGGACTGTACCTATTTTTGGATTCTTATTACAACACACTTACCCCTGTTCCCATATCATGGAAAAGGAAAATGATTCTAAAGAGCACAACAACAGTGTTGATTACAAAAAAGATTGGATCAACAAAATCACGAATGAAAAATTTTGCAGGGATATTCCAGCTCGGGTATTGCTATTTGTTATTTTCTATGTGAATATATGGGAAAAGGCACACACTCCTCAGTTTTTTTTTATCTGTATGATGGTTAATTGTCCTAACAGCAAATTATATAGAATTTCGAACTGATAACAGACTAACAAAAACTTTTATGACGGTACTTATTGTGGTTTTGTACATATAGTCGTCGTGCAAGGTTTAGTGTCCATCGGAATTTCAACAGTTTCTCAGTTACACTTATTTCAATATACTCTGATTTAACTCTATCAGGGATTTTTTTTTACAGAATCATCCATTTCATCCGAAATATTTCTTTGCAGTATCTTTGCAAACATGTATCTTATTGTTGTACTATGTTTATTTTTTACATCATTTGCTTTCTCTCTGGTAATCAATAAAGGTAAACTTATAATATTATTACTACGCATTCAAATAATTAAATTAGATATGTTTGATTTAAAATAACATGGTTTTCAACCAGCGTGATGATAAGATGTACATGAAAACATGTTATTTTAAGTCTGATTAGTTTTCAAGTTTAATATGTTCTACACGTGAAATTTAATTAAAAGATTTTATAAAGAGGTCGATTAAATCAGTTTGAATTTAATACTGCATAAAAAATCCATCTTGTCATTATCTTATTTCATGTACATGTATTTACATGTATATGTCTTTCTATATTTCATATCAGGTTTATTCTGTTTGGTACAGGCATCCTTACATCATGACGTTCGCTATGGAAGTTTTGGTCTCCAGCAAGACTATAAATCATCGGGATATGAATATTCAACAACTACTGAGAAGCATACGAAATATAAAACACAAATTATTTTCATTACCGTCATAAGCTGCCTGATAGTTCTTGGAGCAGGGGGTGCCTTTTTCATTTCTTTGGTGAAGTGGAATCATTATCATGATGATACTCCTCAAAACCACTTTGAAATGGGTAGGAAAGATACATTAAACTACATCTTAATTAATAGCAAATATCTGCTTTTTGCTTTTCATTTAATTAAGGATTTGAAAAAAAATTGATAAAATGAAAATGAATATTTACCATGTGCCTTTAACTTACTAGTAGGTTATATAAATTTTGAGATACTATTATATTCATATATGTTAACATTTTTGTCTCTAAAACGTGACGACTTTAACTTTTCTATCGTCAACTTCCCTTACTTATGCAAGCAATATACCTTCATCACCTGCATACGGAGTGTATATATCTCAGTTAATTCGATACGCAAGAGCATGCTCTACGTACGAACAAATTCTAAAACGAAGTAAATCATTGACAAGCAAGTTGATGAAACAAGATTATCAGCAGTCTCGTTTAAAGTCATCATTTCGTAAGTTCGTAATGACCTTGTCAGCAAATACAATTTATCATTGAGTCAAATGCTGACTGACGTTACCAATTGTTAGTCCATTATTTATACACTGAATTGACGATGGATTTTTCCGTTATTTTACGATCAAGACAATGAGCACACGGCGGATGTGACCGGTCAACAGGGGATGCTCACTCCACCATGGCACCTAATCCCACCTCTAAAATTTCGGAGGTCCGTGTTTGCTCTGCTCTTATTTTGTATTGTTTTATGAACTTTGATATTGAATACTGTTCGTTATCTCCATATTCCTTTGTTTGAAAGAAATTTTCAAATAAATAGCAGAAATGTTGGCACTAAAATATGGTCAATTTGAACGACAAATGGTTCAACAGCGTGCTTAATGATACATCAATCTTCTGTTTGCTCATGTCAAAATCTATGATACTGCAGCAAATTTTAAGACATTGTCCGTAAATTCCTGGAAATTCATTACTTGAATATAAAAGAAAAACTGATTTATAGACTTGACGAAATATCTAATTCTCATTTGCATAAATATGTTAAATAATGTTTTTACCTATTCTCTATTAATCATTACATTTTAAATTCGTATATGAATCTCAATCAGCGATTGATACCCTCGGCATAATTTGATTTTATAATCATAAAGTTTTTAAACAAACAATGCTGGTATGTTGCCTTGGATTACCAGAAAAGTTTCAACATGAATACTTAAAATCTTATCATCTTATTACTTCCTGTCTTAAGTTCAAGCAAAAGGACAAATGAGGATTCAGCAGGATTTTACAGAAGAATTAAATAATAAAACATCTCTTGTTTATCTTAACTTCACACATGATTTCTGTGAAGAGGTAAGACCTTGCATTCCTTTTTTTAAGATAAAAATGTCAATCTCAATTATTATATATGTATTATACATAGAAATACATAGATGTCAAGTTAAAAAGTTTTTTTCTGACGTGTAAGCTTTTCAATAATCTGTAATTAATTGGTCTTGTTGCCAGGAGCTAAGGAAATTTATTGTTTTACCCAACATCATTTACTTTAAATTAGTAAACTTTTCAAACAGATCCTTATTCTTCTTAATATATGATCTTAGCCGCGACCAATCTAATTAAATTGAGCTGCGACTGACCCAAGTCGGTAACTGTTTTATTTAACAAGATATATATTTTCTTATATCAATTTCGTAATTCTAAAGTTTCAACCACTACACCTTTATGGTGCCATATTAATCCAGATTTCTAAGTTTGTTTAACTCATTAGCATTACTCAAAGCAAAACTAAGCATATTACTGTCTTTTCTGGTCGCCAGTTAGTTACAGCGTGTCTAACGTCGTGGTGTAAGAAGTTACTTCTGTAGCGGGTTTGATCCCACAGTATGATGTAAAGACTGGTTCTTCATATGAGATTGTTAGACCCGTTTCGCAATACATGAAGGTGCTGATACGAGAAAAAAAAATACTGCTCAAAGGTCGTCAGTACGAAGAACAGGTCTAGATTTGCAGCCCTCCATCGAGAGGTGTGGTATCTGAATAGTAGATAAGAAGGATAAATACTCGAAGGAACGTTAAAAGGAACAAGCAAACAATTTACCCTGATCAGAAAGCAGTCCTCTCGGTCATCCTTAAAAAGGAAGGTATGCAATGAAAATAATCCGTCTACAAAACAATTTGGATTTAATACGGAATTTGTATAGTCATGAATATGACTTAAAAGCACTCATCAGAGCAATCTTAAAGCCATGTCTTTGTCGTCTCTCAAGTTTTGTTAGATCCTTTTCATAAAATCATAAATTATTATAACTTCAGTAAACAACTCATACTGATCATCAATGTTTTTAAAATTTTTCTTCTTGATATTTTTATTCTTTATTATCTTAGTGTAATTTGTTACCTGAATGTAAGAGTGAAAGAAAAACGACCATATTCAGTTTTAATCAACCTTAATGTTTAGCTCTATTAGATATAGATTAAAAATTACTATTAGACTTTTTAAAAAATAATTTGATTAAAAAAATGTATAATATAAAACATTCCAGTGCTATGTCAGCAATCACTTGAATAAAAATATATTATGTAGATTTCCTGATTTATTATTTTAGATTACAACAAGTATTAAATGGGATAGCCTAACGATTTTGCGGAACTGCGCTGTCACAGGACTTCGGTATGATTTTCAAGATATTTGCACTCCGATTTT